CATTCCCAAACTAGGTATGCCAAGAACCCAAGAATGAATTGACTGAACACATGAACTGCTGCTCAAGAAGTTCGCGGAATGCTTTCCCATTGCTGTTTTCGGCTTGCGGCGTGCACCTTCCAATGGCGTTTGATTCTGTTGGAAACAAGCACCCATCTTCATCCCGTGTATACCCATTTCTTCCAGCGCAGTCGGTGAGAAAGACAGGAATATAACGATGCGGAAGCTGTGAAACAATGGAGCCCACAGATGCCCATAGTCCATCCACTCGTGCTCTGTCCGTGGCAGTCCGTCCCTGAACCCACGAATAAACAACGATAAATAACCAAAAGTCAACACCCTTGGCACTCAGCTGGGATGGTGTATGAGTATATGTGTCTGACATTCTGAGTTTCGAAAACCTTCGACCGCAAATAAATCGCCACACCTGCTGAATGTTCTGATTTTCCCAGATGTCCCTATCCGTATGCTCGAAAGCTGGAACATCCGAAGTGGGACATCCTGATTGCGATACTTGGTACCAGAAAGTCCCACAACATGATACCCACAAAAACCAGTAGCCACTTCAGCCTTTCGTTCGAACTCCCATGTGCTCTGAGGGTTGCATGCAACCATTTTCCAAAGCTTACTTGGAAAGGTGGGCCAGCCGCAACCCAGTGTGTCAAACAATTTCTCATGGCCGCCCGTAACCTCGCACGCGCAGAGGTATCACACGCGCGGAGGTATCGGACGCGCGGAGGTATCAGACGAGCGGAGGTATCAGACGGGCGGACTTATCAGGCGGGCGGAGGTATCAGTGTTCAGACCCACGGAGGTACCAGACGCGCGGAGGCATCAGATGCACGGAGGTATCAGAACGGCGAAAATCTCAAACCTCTAACCTAGCATCCGGATGGAGGGGGGTTCAGGTTAGGAGGTCACTCGGGGTACGTAATGTTCAGGACTCTATGTCCTATGGTCTATATGCTATACTCTTGTATTGGATAAACTATGTATTTACATTTTCGGAAAGCCTCACACTACAGGCCCGAGTTTTCTAGCTTTCGGCAAGATTTGCTGTAAAGCTCTCATGTTTATTTCAGTTGCATGCCTGCGTGCAAGAAACCTTACGGGGACCCAAAAAACATAGCATAGCATCCGCAACAGCAGAATGGTTTCAGAGCTCCTGCGGGGATGCCCTCTCTTGCGCAGATCAGATAATGACCGTGGCACTAAAGAGCCTAGGCCCCAGAGCCTAAGGGTCTGGGTCCCAGCGGGGCGGGCTTGAGGCAACAAAAACCTACCCTCAAAAGACGATTACGCTCTCGCAACCACAAATCGGATTTGCCAGACAAGGTTTGTCGTTACGAATGCGCACTACAGGAAATAGAGGGTTTTGGTGCTTTTCTTTGAGACGCCAGAGCTCAGCCTTCTCAGCCTGGAACCTGTGGGCCGGGCCGGTGAGTCTCAGAAATTGTCGAAACAGCAAGTTAACGGTTAACGTTCAGCAACACCCCAAAGAGTCAAAGACAACGTGACGTGAACGAACAAGGGCACGCAAATAATGGCCACCAGCAGTTTGAAAAGTGCAATGCCAATGCCATGCATCGTGCTAAACGGCAAGCCTTGAACCCACCCAACTACAGCAGTCATGACCGAAGCACAGGCACCAGCTCCATCAACGGCCACTGAAGACTGCGAAAATGACACTGATGCCAGACTTTCCAGAAGTAAGGCAGCAAGACTCAGAATGAGGAAGCAATGAAGTGTCGGTAGGCAGTGCTGCGGCAGGCTGCAATCAAGTGTTGATTGATGCACGGCAGCATGGACAAACAAGACTGCGAATGAGTTCGTCTTCTGATGAAGGAAACGGAACCCACACGTACATCACAGACAAGAACCCATGGGTGGTATGCTGGACTTGCTATCACCTGTCTCGCTTTTGTGTCTACATATGTTACTACAGAGACGGTAAATCTAAAAGCGAAAAACAAGCCACTCATTGATTGACGACTCGTATGCTGCCGGCAGTTGGGAGGCAACTGGATGTGTAATTACATCACGCACACAGACAATCGAGAAACTCGTGAAGGCGCAGTGCTTGGGCTGTTGCTGCTCCTCTAAATTCTTCTGCAAAGCGTTCACGAGCCTGCAGTGCAGAGTATTGCAGAGTCGCTTCGTTGCACCCGGACATACACGCATTATCATGAGCACCAACCGCCTGGTATCGTCGGTTGGCTGCGACCTGAGTCACGGAAGTAGACAGCCCGAATCAAACAACCCATCCGGTCTGAAGCATCAGCCTTTCCAGTTGGTGTCGGAGTCCTGGCAACGGGAAAATCACATGGAGGCACGTTGCTCGAGTTTGGACATTGCTCGAGTTTGGACACCTGGACACAACGCTAAGTCTGAATTGGATCAGCTTCCGGCACCTTGTTATGTAGCTCGCAAAAGAGTCTTGGATCATATCAACAGAACTTAAACAGAACTGGCTGACATCACTCCTTCCACCAGTGCCTCTTGCTTCATGGCTGCAGCTTCAACTGCAGCCACCTTAGCTCGGCTTGGGTGGCTGGACATCGAGCGAATCGCTACAACCTGTGCCAATGCATTCCAACACGAGCACTACTCGCCATCTGCTCTCTGCTACCTACCAGATTCTACCAGTGGGGCAACCGCTTCCGAATTGGATTGTGCAACTGCGACAATGCAACTACAACAGCGAAGCAACTTCAGCGAATTCCAGAATAGACCCACGCATAAACAAGAACGTGGACTCACAACTCTGCATGGTAGGCGACGCTCTTAGCATAACCGGCTTTCACGTACTCCTACGACCCTCAACATCCCTGTGTGCGGCTGTCGCCTAGGATAAGTTGGAGCTCTTGCACTACTCGGTCACAGCAGGATGGTTGAAAAGTGCGATTTTCCGTCAGCTACGCAGCTTTCGACCTGTGAGGCGTGCTAGGCCTAGGATCTCCAGCCGAGCTGGTTGGTACGGTTCAGCTTCTGATAATGAACGACAGTTCACTCGTTAGGTGTCTTCGTCTGGGACACGCAGAGCGCACGGCTGTCGGGGGGTGGGTTCTTGTTTTGGGAAGTCTTCAAGATTGATAGACTTCCCGGGGCTGCAGAAAGTAGGCTCAGTATCCCTAAGGCCGAGAAATTCAATGACCTTGTCGCGAAACTCCTGGAAAACTGAACAAGCCCATACGAAGAAGAAGGTCATGCCGACTGAAGCTCTCAGGCCGCACCGTAACTCCGAGTCTGCTCTGGGATGCAAGCTCGCGCTTCAGCACGACTGCTTCGAGACTCCTTGAACACACAGGCCCAGAATGGTTTCCCGCACACTACCTCTGAAACATCTGATGCTCTCTCGGGGTCTCCTCGTCTTGCAAACGCCTTTCGGCACATTGGAGTCGAAACTCCACCTCCACGAAATGCCACACAAACTTCTCGATGTTTGACAGTTTCTTTTGCCACTCTGCTCCAACTAGACAAACTCCTGTGCAGGTTGGACTCGACATGACGGCACCTGCCTTGGAGCGCTCTTGTCGCTCATTGTCCAAGGAGTCTCGCAAGTCCTCGAGAAGGAACTCAACCGGGCCGGGAACACAGCAAGTTGGGAGAGGCCTTGAGCTTCTCCTGCATTTCCTGCTCGCAGACGACAGCCGATAGCTGCACTACACTTCTGTTCTCCCATTCCGCCTTGATTGTGCGCTCCAGGGCCTGACAGAGACTGCGCTGCTGTGTGGGCGCTGTGAGGGCGCTGTGGCACCTCAACTCTGGAGCCCTCGGGTGACTGCGCTGCGCCATAGCCGCACCTCTTGCACACTTGCAACTCAGAACGTGTTCGACGGGCGCGTGCACGTCCCATGTAGTACCGTGCACTTGCGTAGCAACTTGCAGCGCATTGAGCCTTCCGGCAAGCAGATCTCCCACTGAGCCAGCGACATGCCCGGCCCACCCATCATACCAGCCATTCCCAGCTGTGCCATGCCTTGGTTAGACAGCACCATAACTTCCGACACCCCTGCGATGGACAGCCCTCGGACGCCCACAACTTTGTATGTGCGGCATTGAAAACTGCCTCAGTTTCACGAAACAGAAGGCATCTGTTCACAAGTTCTATATCGAGGTGAGGAAGAAGCTGCGCACACGGATACCCAGAGTAGGCACCTTGGACAAGATGCTCAATGACCTGTCCTCTGGTCAACACCAAGGACCAAGGACCAAGGACCGCACCCTGGCCGCATCCAGCGAAGTCCTGTCCAGCTGGCGGTGGTGTCGCCACCTGCAAGCTAGAACACACGAACAACGCAAAGCTCGCCGTGAATGCAAGAAACGGCTGTGTAACGGGCTGGCGGAGACGGTATCGACCTACAGTTCATCAGCCAGTCTTCAAAACACGCACTGTGCGTGGCTCCCAGGCATTGGCTCTGGCATAGCTGTGGTGGAGGAACCTTGGCTGGCCTCAAGAAAAAAGCTCCAGAGCTAACAAACGTCAAGCTCACCATTGCAAAGCAAAGCTAGTCTTGGGACGGCCGGCCGCTCCGCCGAAACCTCAGCGAAACAAGGCAACACATAAGACGCAGAAGCATGGCTGCCTTGTCTGCGTTGATGAATTTATATATGCCGTTTCGGTCGTGTGGAGACGTCAATTGGACGCATCACTGCAACACTTCGGATTTGTGGGTCAGTTTGCGCAATCACACTGGAGCCACTTTCGCGAATCCTGGGATCGCAGGTGGAAGTCTCGGCCATGTTTGACTTCTGTCCTGATGGGAATCATTCGGAATCCAAGAGGAAAACACTGTTCAAAAAGTGGCTGCGTTCTGAAAACACAATCGAACATCGGTTTGGCATGCAGACTCTGCTCGGAACCCACACACGAAAACTGACACGAGAGAAGGCGGCCCTGAAACGACAAGTAAGCTGCACACCCGTGGCAGTGCCTTTTGCAGCAGCACCTGCAGATTCAGCGCTGTTCTCATTGCTTGCATCTCGCCTTTGGCTTCCCGGCTTGCACTCGGATCCATCACTTCTTTTTCCTCCGCCGATTGCAAAGCCTGCCACTTGGAAGCCTGTTCTTAGGCTGCCGCAGCACATATGCGAACTGAAATCAGCCAACGTGGATCCCTGAGCACTCCAGCATGAAGCCTCGCATTCCAGCAACCGTAAACATGACAGTAGAAAGCTGCTCGAATGTGATCCAACTGCGTTGAGCGACGTTTGTAGAGCTGCTTTGCCAGGTTTTTCCTTGACTCGCCGCTCATGCCCTCGAAGGCTCCGTCTGGACATGCCTCAGGCGGAATACTTCTTGGGATCCACTCCCTCTGCAAAAAGTCCCTGCCTCAATTGTCTTGAAGGTCGGTGGCATGCGGATATCTTGTGGAAGCAGAGTGCGACCACTGGGCTCATACTTGAATGTGTACCTCAGACATCGTGCGACGAACATTCGAGCCGTTGAACAACGCTAGCACGAGCTGTTCTGATGCTGTCTCACTGTCAACACCAGGCGACGCTTAATTATTACAGCATTTGCACTGCTCGTGGTTTGACGGAAAGCCAATTATGTCAAGCTGCACCATGTCCTTTTCAGCGCGCTGAACGTTGTAACCCTCCCCCTCATCTGGCCGTCTGTAAGTATCACGACGATCTCCATAGGACCGGCCGTAGCGGTGCAAACTCCACTGCAGAAATGGTACGGTCTCCACGTGCCGAAACTCGTTCTCTGCGGCCGAACAGATGATGTAGGAATACCGGACGCCAACCGCGCCCTGGTTCGATGCGACCTGCACGGGCTCGGCAAAACGGTGACAATGACAGGCTTGAGAGCTTGAAGGTGGCCCCTGTATTAAAATATCAATATATTAATATATCAATATACTAATATATTAATATATGGGCGCACCCCTATTTGGGGTCCCCTACGTTTTTCGCTACATCATCTGACTGAGCTCTAACCACCAGACTAGGTTATAACCAGCCGATTAGGTTATAACCAGCCGACTAGGTTATAACCAGTCGACTAATTTATAATCAGGTATACATTATCGAATATAGTATTATGCTTGTATGGAGCAGCTCGATGGCAATGGTGTACGCCATCGACTACAGTATAATATCCGGTTTGAAGACTAACCCGGGAAGTTGCAACAACCCATGCTTTCAGAATGCTGAAGCCCGCACAACGCTAAGAATTCTATGACACCCTCGTCGAAACCCCGTTACAATGTGCTAAAATCCTTGCCTTGAAGCCGTCGATATATCTTCGTAATTCATCTTTGTGTGACTGTATCTAAACCGCTGTATTTCAGTTTTTTCCAACAAGCGCGCTGTAGTCATTAGTCTGGCTCAGTCATTCCTTATCGCGAACTAGATTTTGGAACGAAAAGCTTTCCATCTTTGTACTGTAATGCCACAATCCCATCAAAGTCTCTGTTGTTGGACGCATTGCTATCACGTTTTGGCAAACTGATAGCTTTCAATGACATATCCCTGTGCCCCTATGTGATTGCTTTTCAACACTGGTATATCCGGTAGGTATATTTGAGTGGTGCATTCCTTAATTCTGTATGACGGCTGCCCCAAGCCAACATTGAAGACTTGCACACTACAAGCTTAGCAAACGTTGTACAGTGTTTTTCCTGGGGGACGACATGAAGCGTCGCTTCTTAGGCTTGGCACTGTTTCTATATGCTGAGTGATGACCGACTGAAAACCAGAAGGCTACATCTAGCTTGTCCGAATTTCTGTTTGTGTTCTTGTGAATATTGACTGAAGGTCGAATAGAAGCCATGGTTCCCAGTCCAGAACTTGATCCTCGTGTTAGAAAAAGTGGTAAACACACACCGAATCACTCCTCGAAAGAGGTTCATCCATGTAGTTGGAAGTAGCATTGCTAGGAATTTTCTACGTACCGAGCGAGGAAATTTAACAGTTTGCAAGTTGCAAATTTTGTTTCGCTCACCACACATATTCTTATCAGTTTTGTCTCATCGAAATCCTGCTTCCTTGGAACGGTCTTTGAACATAGCGTTGCAACCAGTTCGCCTATGTACGAAGTGATGAAACCTGACCACGCTGTAAACTTTGAAATACTGTCTCTCCCTACAATGACGTCATATCAGTCGTATCTCAACTTTCTGTGTACCGTGATTTTCCAATGTTGACAACACTTACTGACCTACTGTAGTCCCGATAGAGCCCCTTCATATTCCGCATTTTGATTCCTGGGTCAGTGACATGTTAGTGGCTATTCTCTCAATGTGTACATAGATCTCATAAACCCGATGTACTGGAACGGACAGACCATTATGTAAAGTCCGCCATATAGCCTTTCCGCTAAAGTTGGGGAATGCGCATATGGTCCCCGGAATTTTGTCTGTTACAAAGCACTGCATCATGCCTCAACAACCGAATACATTCCAATTACCTCGGACCCTCTATTCTTCTAGTCCTTGTTTAATTTCATTGCGGTTACATTCCCCCTGAAACACCGAAACTTTCGAACGTTTGGATCTAGGTGTTGATGAAGTAGCGGTGGCACAGATTTGCTTCGTAAGGTTTATAGTGTGCAACAAACAATCAAGGCACCCCAATTTACAAACCACAACCCTGGTATGTAAGCCCCCCGGTGTTTCGACACAGTTTACCAATATTGCAGGTTCACCATCAAGTGTTGGGTTTGTTTGGGTTTTACTGCTTAGGGTTTGGCGCTAGGGTTTGGGGGAGACTTAACCTTAAACTATTATACCGGCTCGCTTGCGCGATACGACACGGAAGACTTAAACCATCAAACCAATAAGCCAATCCATTTGGTCTATAGGGCACGGCGGGAGTCTTCAAACCCTGAACGTATTTTGCCGCCTGGTTATAACCTCTGTCCCCGGTTATAACCAGGACACCTGCGTAGTAGGCAGCTCTAGACCCAACACTAAACCATTAAACCATTAACAAACCATTAAATTAGTACACCGTTAAACCAATCCTTTCCCCCAAAGGACCCAAACCAATAAACCATTAAACCATTAAACCAATCCTTTTGCCCCATGCCACTAAACCATCAAACCATTAAACATATCCCTTTACCCCATACCACTAAACCACTAAACCACTAAACCATTAAACCATTAAACCAATCCTTTCCCCCAATGCACCTAAACCACTAAACCATTAAACCATTAAACCGTTAAACCATTAAACCATTCCTTTTGCTCCATACCACTAAACCACTAAACCATTAAACCATTAAACCAATCCGTTTGCTCCATACCACTAAACCACTAAACCATTAAACCATTAAACCAATCCGTTTGCTCCATACCACTATACCACTAAACCATTAAACCATTAAACCAATGCTTTCGGCCCATACAGGGATGTGTCTCTCTCTATAGGGGAAAATGATTGGTTTAATGGTTTAATGGTTTAGTGGTTTGGGTCCATTGGGGGAAATGATTGGTTTAATGGTTTAATGGTTTATTGGTTTGGGTCCACTGGGGGAAAGGATTGGTTTAATGGTTTATTGGTTTAGTGGCATGGAGCAAAAGGAATGGTTTAATGGTTTAATGGTTTAGTGGTTTGGGTGTGCAAAAACCCAGGGGACCCCATATAGGGGGGTACCCTAATATATATATATATATATATATATTGATTGATTGATATATTGATATATTGATATATTGATATATTAATATATTCATAGATTAAGAATTTAATATATTAATATACTAATATATTAACCGAATTGTGACGCCACATTGTCTGACGCCGAGTTGTCCCTGAAGCCGAATTGGGTCGTGATGCCGAATTGTTTCCTACGCCCCATTGGGTGGTGACGCCGAATTGCTGACATTTGGTGGCGACGCCGAACTGCTGACGCTGCATTAGATGGTGACGCCGGATTGGTGACGCCGCATCAGGTGGTGACGCGGAATTCCTCACGCCACATTAGGTTGTGACGCCGAATTGGGTCGTGATGCCGGATTGTGAAGCCACCTTACCCGAGGCCCCTGGATCTGTTGCCAGCGCCCAGAACCCTTGCAAATCTTGAACTGCGAGGGTGGGGCCTTGGACTGATGGAGCGCCCCTGGTTTTCAAATCAGAGCTCTTTTTGATGTTGAACCGGGAGGGTAGGGCTTTGGACTGATGCTGTGCCCCTGATATTTTTCAAAACAGAACTCGTATAGATCTTGAACTCCGAGGCTGGGGTTTCGGACGGATGGGGCGCCCCTGATCTTTTAAATCAGAACTCTTATAATTATAGCATCTTGAACTTTGAAGACAAGACCTTGGACTGATGGCGCACCCCTGGTTTTTAAATCAGAACTCTTAAACATCTTCAACTGCGAGGATACGTAAGGCCTTGGACTGATGCTGCGCCCATGATGTTTAAATCAGAACTCTTCTAGATCTTGAACTCCGAGGATAAAGCCTTGCACTGCATGATGGTGCGTCCCTGATTTTTTGCAACAGCATCTGATGAATCTTGACCTGTGGGGACAAGGCTTTGGACTGATGGCACGCCCCTGATGTTACAATCAAAACCTTTACAAATCTTTAACTCCGAGGGTGGGGCCTTGTACTGGTGGGGCGCCCCTGATTTCTAAAGAACTCTTATGGATCTGATTTTTAAATCAGAACTCTCAAGATAGGGCCTTGGACCGATGGAGCGCCCCTGATGTCTAAATCAAAACTCTTATAGATCTGGAACAACGAGGATAAACTTGCACAGATAGTGCACCCCTGATTTTACCAACAGAATTCTGATAGATCTTGACCTCTGAGAAATAGGCCGTGGACTGATGAAGCGCCCCTGATTTTTAATCAGAACTCTTACAGATCTTGAACTTCGCGGGTGGGGCCTTGGACTGACGGGTCGCCCTAATTTTTAAGGCAGAACCTTTAAAGATCTTGCGCACCTGATTATTGAATCAAATTCTATCAAATTCTTATAGATCTCGAACTCCGAAGGGGGGGGCTTGGGCTGAGGAGGCGACCCTGATGTTTTCAATCAGAACTCGTATTGATCTTGAACTCGGAGGGTGGGGCCATGGACTGATGGGCCGTTATTGACTTATTCAAAGAACCCTTATATAGGTCTTGAACTCTGAGAAAAAGTCCTTGGACTGATGGCACGCCCCTGATGTTAAAATCAGAACCTTTACAAATCTTTAACTCCGAGGGTGGGGCCTTGGACTGGTGGGTCGCCATTGATTTGAAGTCAGAACCTTTAAAAATCTTGAACTCCGAGAAAAAGCCCTTGAAGTGATGGGGCACCCCTATTTTTTCAAAATAAGAACTCTTATAAATCTGGAACTCTGATGGAGCGCCCCTGATGTTTAAATCAGAACTCGATAGGGCTTTGGACCGATGGAGCGCCCCTGATGCCCATATCAGAACTCTTATAGATCTTGAACAACGAGGATAAACTTGCACAGATGGTGCACCCCTGATTTTACCAACAGAACTCTGGTAGATCTTGACCTCTGAGAATTAGGCCTTGGACTGAAGAAGCGCCCCTGATTTTTAATCAGAACTCTTACAGATCTTGAACTCCGCGGGTGGGGCCGTGGACTGACGGGTCGCCCTACCCTAAGTTTTAAGGCAGAACCTCTAAAGATCTTGAATTGGGACTGATGGGCGCCTGATTTTTTGAACCAGAACTCTTATAGATCTTGAACTCCGAGGGTGGGGCCTTGGACTGATGGGGCGACACTGATTCATTCAAAATCTTCTTATATAGGTCTTGAGCTCTGAGAATAAGGCCTTGGACTGATGGCGCGCCCCTGATGTTGAAATCAGAACTGTTACAAGTTATAGATCTTGAACTCCGAGAAACGGCCCTTGAAGTGATGGCGCATCCCTGGTTTTACCAACAGAACTCTGATAGATCTTGACCTCTGAGAATAAGGCCTTTGGCGCCCCTGGTTTTTATTCAGAACTCTTACCGATCTTGAACTCCGCGGGTGGGGCCTTGATGGGTCGCCCTAATTTTTAAGGCGGAACCTTTAAAGATCTTGAATTGGGACTGAGGGGCGCCCCTGATTGCTTTGAATCAGAACTCTTATAGATCTTGATCTCCGAAGGTGGGGCCTTGGACTGATGGGGCACCCCTGATTTTTGAATCAGAATTTTTACAAGCATTGAACTCCGAGGGTGGAGCCTTTGACTGATTGGGCTCCCCTGATTTCGAAATCAGGACTCTTACACAGCTTGAACGCCAAGGGTGGATGGACGGTTGGGCGCGCACCATCTCGTAATCCGAACTCTTGTACAAACGGATCTCCCAGGATGGAGCCTTGGACTGATGGAGAGCCCCTGATTTTAACATCGAATGTCATGCGAAACCCATGCTCAGTCAACTGTCATGTGAGTCATGCATGTGAAGCTGCACTCGCATTCTGCTCGTGGCCGCTATGTCGCGAAAGCGGCTTCGCAATGCGTTTGCACTTGCCTGGACCGTGGCCTCGCAATGTGTCTCCTGAAGCCGTCTTCGTAATGCGTCTTCGCCTACCCAATGAGTCTTCGCAATTCGTCTTCCCCTATCCAATGTGTCTTCGCAATGCGTCTGCGCCACCCGATGCGTCTTCACAATGCGTCTGCGCCGGTCAAACTTCACACGTCAAGCCACCAGGCAAGCAAGAACAGCCAAACGTGCTGAATTGAACTACTTCGTTTCCGGTTGATCCACATTGGAATCCTCAAAGCTGGTAAGGCCTTATAAAAAGCCCGAACAGACGGCGCAACGATGGGCGACGTCTCGCTCGGCCGTTCGTTCTGCATTCTTAAATGTCGCATGGCGCCTGCAATGCCCTAAGAATAGCAATCGGCCGAGTCACATCATCCTCGATTGGGACTTGCATATTCTATTGGGCTGCGGGCGCAAGCTTGGTACTGGCAGTCTGGGCTATCCCGGCTCTTGTGTTCTTGACATGTGTTGGACAACTGCTCAACTCAGTCGGCCTGAGTAAAACGAAATTTCGTCATTGCAACTGCGCGCCTTCACTATGCCACCAGGCTTCACATAGGCACGTAATGCCCTGAAGAATAGCCGCATCAGGTTCTCGTGTCGCCAGTTGACCAGTGGATGGCCATCAAAGAAGCCACCAACAGCTCCTGCTTCATTGCCAGGTATGCCGTATGCACCTACTCGTACGTGCCTATGAGACATGCGAGCATGAGACATGCAACCATCCACCCGTGTGCGACACAGTCCTGCATGCGGAAAATTGTAGTACACAGCTCCCAGGGAACGCTCCAAGTCTTTGAACTCCGCATGGACTGCAATCCGCGTGCAGTCCACTTCCTTACAGCAGGCGAAGCATGTTTTTCTAGCGGCCTTGCTCAGTTTGTAGTCCGTGGTTGTCAATGTGCCCAGGCCTAGGTGTGAGTTGCCCTACATGACCAGCCTTAAATCTGCAGTGTTCTCAAGGTGCTGGCTGCCTGCCATGTTTGTGGCAATTGGAAGACTTGGGACGGGGGTTGGGGTACACCCTGAATTGGAGTTTCACCATGCTACTCATGCTACGATTAGAACTTCCCAACTATCGGGTGCGCAGCGGCTTAACATGCGGTATTGCAAACTCTTTGGACTAACCTCTGTTGCCACCTGGACTTAGCTTCTTCATGTCAAACTCATTGCCAACCTCTTCAAGGAGAAAGAAGTTCAACTGTCAGTTCACTCTGGCTCTGTGCCGTGTATTCCCGGCCGCAAAAGGATAATGACTGATGTGCCCCCACGAGGCGGGGCTGCCGCGAATGCCCCAGCCCCGGAAGCAACATCTGAATCCGATGGGTAAGGGTTCGGAAATGCTTCATACCTTGCACCAACCTTTGACAAAAGACTACAATGACTGCAAGCACCTTTGGCCCAAGTCCCAAAGAATATTCATCACTTCTCCAGCACGGGTCTGGAGTCCGGGAGCCCAGAAACGATATCTGAAACATAAGTCGACACGACCCCGGAACTCCTCATGCGGCGATGCGGCAAAGCTACACCCGCCACAATTCAACATGCTGAGCTTTTCTGCCGCCCAGTGTCATGATGAACTTCGGCGAAGTGCTTCTCCAGCACCGCAATAGTCTCGTCTATTTCAGAGTATCTCTCTCGCAGAACTTCCAATGACTCGAAAGTCGTCGCAATGACACGGCCAACATGACCCAGGGCCTCTTCACAGAAACTCTGCGGTGAAAGACTCAGAAACCACGGCTGCAGACAAGTACGTCCAGGACAAGAACAAAACAATATGCGAGACTTGCCCAGCTCACACTCTCGGACACGGTTAGGAGGCGGAGAAGGAAGGGGGTGGGGAGGGGGACGAAAGGGGAGCTGAAAGAACACGAACACGCACGAGCACACACACACGCACAAACAAACAAACAAACAAACAGACAGACAGACAGACAGACAGACAGACAGACAGACAGACAGACAGACAGACAGACAGACTGACAAACAAACAAACAAACGAACAAGCAAACAAGCACACACACACACAACCACACAGACACACAGACACACACATACACACACACACACACTTACTTGCTTGAAACTTGGATCGCCGAGAGCTCCGTTACATGTGGTGTAATTATGCTAATTATGACGTGCCTACGTGCCACATTCGTGATTAGACTATGAGGAAATCCGGGCCCCATTTTGGGACAACCTGGAGATACCTCAACCAGAACCGGTATACTTAGTAGCGTCAGGTTTCAAGCCCGGCACAAAAACGATGATGGGGTTACTGGACCGCACACGTACGGAAAGGGTACCAGGTTCATTGACCACAACGCTCAGTCGAACCGCTGTTTGTGTGTTAGAACGATGCAGCGTCTAGAAATGGTTCAGGCAGCATCTTGGATCACACCCAACCCCACTCATCACATCACCTACAAGGACAAGACAGCCCCACCTCCCGATTTGGCACAGTTCGTTCTAGACCCTTTTGTTTTGCAAAAAATCTACACTCACATTCATTACGAACTAAATTCGAACCCCAACCTGGCCCTGCAAGCACCCACACTCATCAGGTCGTACCTGGACATGCCAGATCTCCTTCCCCCCCGAAGACCACGCCGCAGGTTGATCCGGCTCATTTTCAGAGACTAGATCATCTGTTTGTGCGAAAGCAATGGCTTAACTCGGTCCATCAGTGCAGGCCCATGCTTTACACAGGTTTCTACCCGGATCACTATCTAGTGGTATCGGAAGTACAGGTTCGACTAGCCGCCAAACCGACCAAACCCCCCAAGCCACCGAAGCTCGACCTTTTTCAACCTGGTGACGCCCAAAAATCGGAGTTTAACGCAATCCTTAGGGAATTGATTTTGGAATCCCCCGAGACCACGCCACCACAACCCACCAACCCCAAGCCAACGGAGAGGTATTACACGGATGGTTCGGGTACTTCAGGTAGATGTACCAAGCACTCCCCGGCAGGTTGGGGTGATGCAGAGCTACCTCAGATGGATGGGAAGACGCGTTTTGACCAGTAATTACGGACCCAGATCACAACCCTTTAGAGGTGCCTGCATAGGCTCCAATAACACAGGGGAGGTCGCGACCATCATCGAGGCTTTACTACGTGCACACCAACGCGAAGCTCAACAGGTACACATATACACGGACAGCCTGTGGGCAAAGAACGTTACACAGGAAAATGGCGAGCACAATTCAACAAGGAACTGGTTGATCTCGCCAAACACCTCGCCAAACTCAAACCTATGCAGGCCCATTATCACTGGGTAAAAGCGCGCAAAGGTAATGAAGGCAACGAAAGGGCGGACCGACTGGCGAACGAAGGGAAAGTACGAGAGGGAACCACAGCGCATCAACCGGAAATGCCGACGCAGAACACTCCAATCAAAGAAGATCTTTCACAGACACACTTAAAGAGGCCGCTAAACAAACCTTCACCCCAGCCACAAGAAGGCAGCGCACACCCTGGATCTCTGATTGCATGGGGATTTGATCTTGATGTTGCCCATTGTTGCTCACCCCACAGAGCTATATTGAATAATGGCGTGGTTGCCCTCTACGAACTCAGCCACTCTCTCTTTCCCCTTCTCTCACGTAAGCCACACTTCCCTTGCAGGCAGATCCAGAGCTCACTTGTTTTGCACTCTCGCGGCCAACGATGGATCGTCTGTGCACGGGATGGCTCTGTCCCTCGGAAGGTCACAGAAGACGAATAGCTTTTTAGCTATGGGCAATGCTTTCTAGAGCATGTGCTCACACTTGAGCCAAAGTTGCGTGGGCGGAAAGCATACAGGAAGGTTTGGCATTGCGGCGTGCGTAGCACTTCCACAATCCTCAACCTAGAGACGAAGGACGCGTAGCGTGCCTTCTGTCTTGTCCTATACATGACCTTGCTCACAGCTCTTATCGTGACACCGTAGAATTTGACTAGGCATCGCAGTCCGTTCGCACCCCCCATGAGTTGCGTCTCCGACGCTGCTCACCCGGAAGATGGCGCGATAGGAACACTATGGATTAGTCCGCCGCAACTTTGAAATATGGAATCAGAGCCTTGCATCCCAATTAGAAACTGTGTGACACTCAACTACGTGGGTAACGATCCCCTGAAATGACAAACGAATCAGGCGTCACCAAAGAAAGAGGCGTTCGCAATGAGGTTCATGAGCGAAGCACAGAGGTCACATTGATGAAGGTAAAGCCGATCATACATTGTCCCGAGACCACTGACGGGTAGCCGCGGGATCAGAGGGAGGATCACGTTCCCAGGGTCTGAGATTTTGTTCTGGATATGGAGATCTGCCCTTTCCCTTGGCTTTCCCTTGTTTCTCTTGCCCTCGATGAAGTCGTGGTACGAGTTGGAATTCCATCCGCCATGTTGTCCACTTCCTTTCGGGCGAGATTTGGGAGCAGCGGTAGATGCGGAAGCACTCGAGGTTTCTTCTGCATGTGACAGGTATGTCCATGATGGAGGTCTGCCCGCGCGGAAGATACTCATCGGCTGAAATGTGATGCAATGCTTCAGGACGGCGTGCATTCGGATGCATCTGTCGTTCGACCCTGCTGGCACGCAGCCTGTCCAAGAGGTGGGACGGCATCTGTACGTTGTGATCCACGAGCAACCCGATGGTCTGTGTGGAATGATCCGTGTGCATCAGTAGGATCCCGACTGGGTCGATGTACAGAAAGTCCACTGGTCCAGTTGGCGTAGGTCGAAGAACAGAAAATTGTGAGTGTCCTGTTACCATGGGAATAACTTCGCAGAGGACGTTCAACCAGCAGAAGTGCATCACCTTCACCTCGCTCTCGTCCTTCAGGTAAGTGCTGGGATTGAAGTTCTCCGTGCCAATTCCCATCATGTTGGCTCCTCGGACCAACATCGAGATCAGCTGGTGCGTTCGGAAGCGCTTGAGGGTGTACGTCCCGTTGGGATCATACGACTTGACGTTGTCTGGTTCTTTGGCAAAACGGATGATTTCCTCATCAGTCACCTCCCTGCTCACTCCGGTGCTGGGGTCCACTTCTGCCAAAACACCCCACTCTCCAAGCACATCATAGCGTAGGCCATTGGCAAAACTTTCCTTGAGTTGGAACAATGGCACTGTTGCCCACTTCGCAAAACCTGACCACGACTTGTAGATGCATCGGCAAACCACGTACGCCATGTAGGAGAGGGCGGCCATGTTGGCATCGATGCAATGCGCATTTCGCTTGTTGTGGTAGTAGTGCGGTTGCATTGCTGTTCGGGCGATCTGCAGTTCAGGGTCGATGTTCAAGGATTGACCGGCAACCCAGACAGGACGACGTTCAAGTGCCACGGCTTCAGGTACCTCGTCGTCAAAGTCTGCCGCCTGATCGGTGTCCATCTCCTCGTCGAGCTCCTGCTCTGCATCTTCTTCTGCAATGATGGAAGGTTCGGGAATGCCTTCAGGTTCTGCCACAGTCTCAACCTCCATGGCTTCTTGTTCTTCAGCAGTTGTCTCAGGTACCGCTGCGGCAGCAGCCTCCATTGTCTGAGCAATGAATTCACTTGGGATCTCCGTAGGAGTCTCCCGTTGTGAGGTGCCTTGATGATAACCACATGAGATGAATTGCGACCAGCATGATGTGCAGCGAGAGAAGCATGCCGGTACAATATTGTAGCACGCGGGGCACACCCTCATCCTTCTGCCATCTCCTTCTCTTCGTAGGTCTTCGGGTCGCCAGTTCTTAATGATGAACTTGATGGCTTTGTCCATGTAGTGATGGCGCACGGTGTTCTCCCTGTGAGATTCGAGCACGGTAGTAAGGTCACGCATGATCTGTTCCTTACTGGCATCGTGAGGACCTGAGGGCATGTCACAGAGTAGCTCCATGATCTTTGCCGGCGTCCGGTACCTTTCGAATTCCGGGAGCAATGGAGATCCATTGAAGTCCAGCACCATTTCTTTCTCCAAACGTTCATCATAGATCTTTTCGATCAGTGCGAAAGAATGTGTATCTCGAGGATTCGGCACGCAAAACCATACCTCCTGGACGAATGCGAACGAAATCGTG